CACACACACACACGGCGCGCCGCGACGCTGGGCCCCGCAACCCTGGAAGCGAGGAAGGAGAGGAAGAGGATGAGGCGGAGGAAGGGGGGGGGGAGAAGGGGAGGGAGGAGGAGGAGGGATGAAGGGGGAGGAGGAGGGGCGAGGGCGAAGGAGGTGGACCCGGTGGAGGAGGAGGAAGGGGGAGGGGGAGGAGGAGGGAGGAAGGAGGAGGAAAGCCCATTGCAAACGCACGCCCTTTTCTTCTTCCCGACGCTCCAAGACGGCCCAAGAGGCCGACCGCCCTCAGACGGCCCAAGAATCAGCCCCCGAAGAACGCGCCAAGACGACCCAAGAGAGCGCCAAGATGGCCCTAGAGGCGCCCAAGACGGCCAGAGAAGGCCCCAAGACTGCCCACGCGCAGAGGAGCCCAACGTATAATATCCGCCGCCTATCCAGTAGACAAGCGAAAGCGTGATGCCCGCGTGCGTCCATTAGAACGCGTTTGTGTTGCTACGTGTTAGGATTTGCGAAAAAAGCTTTCGCGCGCCCCATGGAGCGCGATGGGCGCGGACGCGAGCAGACGCTGGCACGTGCCCATGACAAATATCGCGCATTGCCGATGCGTGTCCGCACCGCTGGGGAAACGAGACTCTGCAAACGACAAGCAAGTGCTGTGTCGGGCGTGTCGTTGAGTTCTACCCCGTACGATGGTGGCGCGCGGGCGCCGATGACACGCGGGGTAAAACGAACCCACGGTGGCGCGCAAGCGCCACCACGTGCCCGCGCGCGCGCCCGCGCGCGCGCCAGTTCACGCACCCACCCCGCCCACTCGCACCTCGCCGCCCCCGCCCCCCCCCCGCCCCTCCCTCCCCGTCTCAGACCCCCGCCGCGTTCTGCCCTGCGAGCCTCCATCGCCAAAGTGACTCGCCAGATGTGGCTAGGCGCTCTCTGTTCGACCGTCGACGGCGCGCGCCAAGAGGCGCTGCCAAGGGCGCATCGCCAAGAAACGCCTGGGCCATGTGGTCGACGCGGCGCTTCCCTGGCGCGTGGCCCGCGACGCAGTTGTCACCGCCCGCGCCAGGCTGCGCGCAGCCCGTTGGCCAGGCCGACCACCCTGCCCTGACCCCGCTGCCACTTCGCACGGGCGCAAGGGCCGGGCCCCAATGCCCCGCCCTTGCGGCCCGCGGTTGTAAGGCTCACGCGAGAGTGCTGCGGGCAGCGCGCAGCGCTCGTATCCACCAGCAGCACGCCGCCGAGGGTCAACGCGCGCGCTTCGACGCATGCGCTCGGCGGCGACAAGCTGCAGGCACAGCGCCCAGCGCCTATTACAGGAAGTCGGGGGCTCGACGTCGGCGGTCATGGCGTCTCGACGCACGCGCGCGTGCGAGACAACACCAGCGCCGAGTCCATGGTTGACGGTAGGCGGCTTCGTCGACGCACTGCGCCCCCCGCGCTCTGCGTCCTGGGCGCGCCGCAGAAGGGCCAAATGGTCGAACGGCGAATGGCCACCGCAGTTGCGTGGTCGCGGTTCTCGATCGCGAAGTGTCGCGGTCCAAACCACGTCAAGCACGTTGCTCGGCGCATCGCGCCACACGCGCTTCAGACACGGCCTTCGCAGCTCGGCTCGGAGCCCGCAGATGAGCGGCGAGGGCGTCGGGCAAGACCTCGCGGGCGATGACCCGAAGCTCCAACCCAGCGGGCATGGCCACAAACGATGGCAAGAAACAACGCGCTCGCTGGGCAGCACACTCGGCCCTGCGCGCGAGGCCAGCGGCGTTCGCCGTCGCCCTGGCGCCAGAGTCAGCGGGCGCAGGCTCGCGGCTGAGAGCCAGGCGCTGCGAGCGCTGCTGAACCTTCAACGCTCGGCCCCGATGGCACTGCGCCCGCGTGTCGCGACGCGCGCCCACGGACTCGGCCATTGGCCTCATGGCCCAGCACAACTGCCCCCGCCGAGCGATGACCAATGGCCAAGGCGAAGACGTATCGAGTCACTGCTTGGAGAGCAGGCACCTCCACGCAACCCATCGCTCAAGGCTCGAACGGACGCGCGCAATTATTACAATCGTTGCCGCGATCCGCAGCCGCGCCCCTATGCCGAGGGGTGGGGGATATGCCATCGGCGCCCTCAGCCGCGGTGCGTACCGCCAAATCCAACTCGCCGCACCGTGACAAGGATGGCATTTGTTCACGATGGCGCTGCGCGCACGTCAAGGCCAGGACGCTCGCGCGGATGTGACATTATGGATCAGCCCCACGGACGCATCGCGCAGCTCGCGAACACTCGGCCCGCTGCCCGCGGGGCGCCGCGCAAGGCACACGGCGTGCCGCCCCAGGCCCGCCCCTCTGATACGCAGCCACGCGTCGCCGAGCGCGGGCCGCAGCCGCGCACCTTGCGGCAAAGCCCGAAGCCAGCGGCCCCGCATGCTGCTGCCCAGGGCGAGCCCCCCCCCCCCCCCCCCCACACCTCCCCCCACACACCGCCACCGCCACCGCCCCCAGCCCAAAACAAATCGCCCGCACCGCAGCAGCAAACCATTGCCACTCCCACCACCCCTCCCCAATCCACTCTGCTCGCGCCACCTCCCTCTCTCGCATCGCGCCCCGCGCCCACCCGC